TATCATCTGGGGCTGGTACAATAGGCCAGAAGTGGCCGCAGTGCAAGGGACTTAGTCCCACCCTACTAGCATTAAAAAAAAGTTTTTAAGTGTGTAGAGTTGTAAAAATTAAATAATTATTTCCTAATGCTGTCTCTGCTGAAATGTCCTAGTAGTATGTATGTTCTGGTAAGTACTGAGCAAAGAAATTATGTTTTATAAATGTTTGTATAATTGTTTTTGTGCATATACTGATTCATCTTACCACAGAAACTAATGCCTTACATGAACAACGTTTTTCTTAACTGATTTGATAATATTATAACCTCACAAGCATTTTATTAAAATGCAAATTCCTGGCCCTGAAAATGTTCTTACATGTTAAAATGATTAAAAAACTCCAAATGTAACAAAGACTCATGGCATAGGTTTTCTCTCAAGCCTTTTTTTTTTTTGGCCACAAATCAAGCCTGTTGTTAGTACAATGTGATAAGATTTCCAATTCCAGCATTTAAGCATGTGAACCCTCTTTGCGACTTACCCATTCACTAAGGAAACAGCAACTTACTGTATTCACTAAATGTGCTGAATCATCTGATTTGTTTTAAATTGTTGTACCATTACCGATGAAAGATAGATTCTTGTTAACATTTATATGCATAATTGCTCTTAAGAGCTTACATTAGAAAATATTAAAGATTTTTAACGAGTTAAATTGTCACAAGATGATTCCTTGCAGCCACTGGGATACCACAAAGGAACACATGTGTGAGAGAGGGTTTCAAAAATTACTTCTCAGAAATGTTAGCAGTACCCATGACTTATCAAAGTCAGAATTGTGATTGTTATCCACAGCATTTTGACTCAACCTCTTAGCCAGCTTCAACAAGGAATATAAAACCATTATGCTTGTGCAAGCATTTAGTGAATGAAGTACATAAGATGTATGTACATTATTGTTTTAGAATTACATTGTTCATACTGTTTCAAATTGGATGCAGTAAGCCTTCTCCCAACAATGAGTAACTTATACAGCAGCACAACTCTAAAGTGAACATGTCTGCATCTCATTTGGGAGCACCAAATTATAACACGAAAATGGACCTTTGAGTAGCAAGCTGGGTCGGTGGCGCAGGAGAAAATCTGTTCACAACTCTTTTTGTTAATGGTCCTGAAACTTATGATTTTAATATTTGTTTCTTAATTGGATGTTTGATCAGTACTTCATTTAGTGGGTTCAATATTCATATTCTTATATGAAATATATATCCTTTTTGCTAATCCCAAAGGAAATTTGGTTTATACAGTTCTGCAGTGTTTTGGCATTTACTTCAGATTTCAGTAAATTGGAATTGTTATATTCACTATTATCATGCAGAAAATATATTGTGACATATCGCGCTATGGAGGACATCCCCTTCTCCGCCAGCGGTGACGTAACAACATCGGGCTCTGTCATTGCTACGGTAACAGGTCGGTCAACATTCCGCCCCTTCCCCGCCGTGATGTAGCAGGGGATGCCGCGCTTGCTATGCAGCAGTAAACGAACTCCCAACAGCGTTGCTAGGCTATCGGTAAACACGGCGTCAAGCAACGGCTGTACCTATCACTTAACTGTTTTCTGTCTTGTCCGTGCCGAGGCCAAATAAGGAGCAGCGAACACTATTCAGTAGTGAGTTTTGTGATCAGGAGTGACGCAGTGAGGATCGTGAACAGGGAAAGAAAAATACCGGAACGTGTGATAATCAGTGGTAGTTTGTGATAGCGGAGAAGATATTGGGAGTGTGTAATTTATTGACACATGTATAGCTCCCGCGTTATTAATACGTGAAGACTCTTGAAGATAGAGTGAATAGAATAGTGTGTAGGGTTTGTAAATTGTGTAAACATGTAACAGTGTTATAATTAATTGTAGCCAAAACTTGTAGGTTGTTAAATAAACCAAGTAACAATCTGAAAGGCGTCTTCAGTAGCAAAACACATTAAAATATATATAATATTTTAAAGATTTCAATATGTGTTTATAGCTTAATTTAGCCTATATTAATGTAACTTAGATGAAAGGTGTAAAGCAGCACTTGCTTTTGACATGTATTCACACTTCTTTCCCCCTAGGACTGTTCGGTTCTATTAATGGAGATGATAACGAGATTCTAAAGTGACCTTTTATAGCCATGAAGTACATAAAATAAATGAATGTTGTAGAAGTTATAATATCTGCCTGGGAAACTGTTGGATAGATTTCAATTGTACTTGCTACTGGACTCTATCAAAAAAATATGTTGTACAGATTTAATGTTTGACTTGGTTCATCCTGGTCCATCACACTAGCAATAGTATAAAAGATTATTAATCCTGTCCAGCGGGATTGACAATGTTGTGTTTTTCAATCTTTCTTCGCTTACAACACAACATTTATCAATCACACTGGATGGCATTAATACTCTTTTATAAGATTTAATGTTGGTTCTTTTTACCCAAGAAAGAGGAGGTAATGGGAGGCTGAAGTGAATAGCATAATGAAGCACTTCATCATTTAAAAAATACTGTTTTCTGGGATGTAATGTCTTGCAGTCTGTTGAAATTCAACTGACTTCTCGGAGGAACATGTCACCTATACCAGAAGATAGAACTCTTGAAAACCACCACTTTGTAATTTGTACTCCATGCCAAATATTAAGATAATCAAATCGAGGAGGTTCTGATTCACAAGTCATGAAACATACATGGGAGGGAAGGGAAATGCATATAAAATTGTATGAAAATCTGTAGAAAGCAAACAGATTGAAAGACAGGCATGTTTAGTACAATACACATACAAACATTATAGTAAAGTCTTCTCAAAATTATAATTACGTTTTCACAGTAGCTTTGTATGTTGCAGTACTGTATACGTTTTTAGCACTAACATCTATCACAACAATTAAGCACAAGCTGCATAAAACAAAAGAAACTGACTTCGTGTCTGCAATTAATGAGCATCAAGATTACTAAAAAATATAAGTTCAGAGGAATATATTGGGAAATGTGTATACCGCATTGGAATTCACCTTTTCTCTCTTTTGAAGCCTTTGTGTTCCTTGTGAATACCTTTAATTTCATCTCATGTGCTAATTTCTTTCTCCTGTAGAATATTGATCTCTGTCCTTAATTTACAGATTAATGATAATTGAGTCTTTATCTTCAGTCACTTCCCTCATGTTTTAACATAATGTAAAGGCATTTAATATATGATATGCCTGATTCAACACAGTAATTGTGTAAAATTTGTAACTAACAAGCTAACATTGGTGTGTATTGCTGCTGTTATGCTGCATCCTCGGATGGGTCTAGGGGTTGACTACTGTATTCTGGGTCACATGTGCCACATGAATGCAACCTGCCTCAACTTACAGACTACATATGCTTGTCAATGCAATGCAGGCTTCTTTGGAGATGGTCACTTCTGCCATGGTATGTAAATATGTCCAGTGTAACATATCTGTTTGCATGAAATATTTGTCATAAGATTATGCCCTTTTTAATGCTGTGTAATGAAATGTATTACTTTAGGGATGTATATGGCACCAAAATATGTTGCTTTGGCTAATGCTTCAACTTACAGTCTACCCAGCTTGCTTGACCTGTGTTTGCCTTGGAAGCAATGAAGAGGTCCATTTCATTATTTGGAATTTCCCTATGCAAATGTTTGTAATACCTGTATGTATGGATTGTTGAATGATAATAAAAATGAAAAATGAAAAAATGAATAGAGAATTGTCAAAAAGGCAGTAGTGTAAGAATTACAGCTTTAATGCAATAGGTACTGTGAGAAAAATTAATTTATCATACTTTTGTAAAGCAATTTGTCAGAAATCTTAAAATCTTTGGCCTCGAGGTCAAAGAAGAGAAAGTCTTCAACTTTGCAGCATATTATGATAAAATAATTATTAGCAATTATAGTTATTAAATTACTGAGTTAAAGGAAGACCCAAGAAAATGCCAGAAAAAGAATTCTGGAGCTAGTACAAGAATTAAATTGTCTAATTCATAAAGATGAGAAGATTAAAATTACTGAATTATTATTATTTCACTGCTTTATGTGATGAATTACTTTAATAACATATTACCTTCTCTAACTCTGCTGGAATATCACTATTACTTATCCAGTATAATCAGCTTTCATGTAGTCTCATAAACTGTATCATCAGCATTTTATTACCCATATTTTTAAAGTCACTGATCCTGGTTACAGGAGAGCCCCCAAGACTGGTCTAGATTATATATTAACATTAATTTATTACTATGTGTTACTTGAATGCATGGCAGATGTCGATGAATGTCAGCAAGAGGGTGGTCTTGAGGGGCATCACTGTCACAGCAATACACGGTGTGTTAATACTAATGGCTCCTATATCTGTGAGTGCCTCCCCGGTTATCGCCGACTTGATAAGTTCAACTGTGTGGAACTGGATGAGTGCAGTACTGGAGAACACTCCTGTCACCGACATGCAGATTGTGTCAACACACTTGGCAGTTACCATTGCAAGTGTCAAGAAGGCTATGAGGGTGATGGATATGATTGCAAGCGTAAGTGAACTTTTTATGAGTTTACTTTGCTGATTTCATAAGGAGAGTGGAACTAATAGCTTCCACATAAGGAAGCATGTGCATGTGTTTGTGGATGTACACATGTTCTCATTTAACAGCTTCTTGACGCATTTCACCAGTTTGCACAAAATGTGTCCTTAATAGCATAAACGTGAAAGACTTCACATTTTTTTTTCCTTTTAATCTGTACCATTAACATGGCAGTCATGTGAACCTTGGAGCTGAAAGTGTTGCAGATATGCTGTCATATGTGACTTGATAAATTATATTAACTTCAATATACTGAAGGAAGATAAAACCTAAGGATCACTGGAAGGAAACAGAGCTCCAGGTTTACAGATGATTGCCAGTAGGTGTGTATTGCCATGGTTATGAATAGAAAGTGATGCTGAAACTGTTATTTTGGACAATGGACAGTGTCCAATGTCCAAAATAATAATCACAATTCTGGTTATGCACCATCATCGTCAGAAACCTTTAGACTTCAAGACTAGAACTGTTCAGTGTAAGGACTTGAAAATATTTATGATGGTAGATCTACAAAATCTAGACACTTCTGTTCACAGTTTTACTGTTATCCATACAACTGTGCACACTTTATGGGTTATGTATTCATTGTCTATATCACATTCTGTATTTTTGGAAGTATTGTGTGAGCAAGGATATGTTTTACTCAGGCTAGAGTAATTTGAAAATCATTTTCTTTCTTCAGAATGACTGGGTTTTTGGACTTTCTCCCCATCGTCCGGTATTCTAGAACAGTAGTTCATTCACTTCTGTGGCCCCCACCCCTCATATTGTTTAATTATAATAAAGGTAACGTTTATAATATATATGTCCTTTATCACTTGCACTTCTATTTATAACATGAATTATTTGTTTATAATATAAGGAATATTAATTAATTAATTTTTAAACTTCATGATTGCCCTATTTCTAAATTTGTTAAAGATGTGGAAAATTTGGAAGTCAGTATAAGTAAAAATTATTTTGAAGCCATTTCACTTAAAATAAATAAAAAAAAACTGCTGTAATCAATTCACAAAGTTTTTCTTTTGTAGAAGGAGGGTAGTCAAATTCTGCTAAAAGCTAACATTTTTTTGCAATGAAAGTTCAAGTTTCTGTGAAATATAACACTTAATACTTTTCTAATTCTGTCACCTCCTTGGATTTGCAGGGCTTCAATGAAGGGATTTGGGCCAGTTATTTAGCCACCTGAGACCAGACTAATTTGGAGGGAGATAACAAGAAAAAGGCAATAAAAATTGTGATAGATCACATACAATGCATGGAACTAGGATAGAGACAGAGGCAGAAATTTTTGCTACAAACCTAGCCAACAAAACCAAGTGCATGAGTAGCAATGATGTGTTTATCACTAGCGCCATCTGTGGAGTAAAACTTGAACACTCAAGATTAAAACCTTATGGAAAACCACGAAGAATCTGTCACGTCATACAGATCTTCCTCTGAATTAGAAACATCACTGATCTAGATAGGAAGAATGTCCAAAATGGGCTGACTAATTGGATTGGTTAAGCATGCCATATGGGCAGATTTCTTGTATATTCTATACCTGCTATTACTTTCAATTTCCAATATCCTAGCATCATCCCAGCCTACTCTATGGCCCTCTTCATAGGCAGGTTGAGCAAATTTTGATTTTTCTAGAAGACCCTGTTGGAGATTGTGCCTGTGTTATGGAGACACACGGCTAGAGGTCTGCCTGTTTCACTGGAGGAGCTCCTGACACATTCACAGGGAATACTTGTGAAGCATTGTGCTGTGTGAATCTGACAGGGGTTGTCCAGTGATTGAGGTTAGCTCTTTCTAAGGGACCCAACTGAGTAGGTGCCTTCCTCCAACCTGAGGAAAGAAACAGACCCACTTTCCGACACGTCATGTTTTGTAATTTCTAGAATACTGGATGATGGAAAAGTCCAAGTGCTATGCACCATCGTCAGAATACTTTTGAACCTATTTTCTTTACACTGGTCTACTTACGAAAATTTCCATAACTATAAATTCAGGATTAACAATCCTTCTTTTATGTTCTAGGGAGTTTCTTAAAGTGTTGTGGATGTTTAATATGTTAAATTTATATTGTCCCAATATTTTCTGTAGTAAAATGAGTTTCATCAGATAAAGAGGTTTAGCTGTGTCCTGGACGTATAACAGTAATTATACTTCAGTACTCCAGTATTTTCACCCACCTTTCACATTCCTTGTAGCAGTTTTATATGAATTAATAAGCCATAAATACATGTAAGCTTATAAATTTATCTGACTAGAATCTGACCAAATATGCTCTTTCAATTGCAGCTGTGTGCAACCAGACCTGTTTAAATAGTGGTGAATGTCTTTCTCCTGGGAACTGTACTTGTCGAAAAGGTTATGTAGGACCTAGTTGTGAATTGGATCTGGATGAGTGTGTATCAAACCTCCACCGATGTCACAAAAATTCTGTTTGCGTAAATATGCCTGGTTGGTACTACTGTCGTTGCAAACCTGGGTACAGAAGCATTCTCCATGATGACAACCATGGACCTATATGCCAAGGTAAGATCATTAAATTAAATTCAAGGCTATCAGCATTAAAGGGGACATGCAGTAGCATAGTTGGTCGTGGTGCTATGCTACAAGCCTGAAGGTCATAGGTTCGATTACTGATGAGGACACTGTATTTTTCATTTGACTTAACCTTTCCAGTCGCACTATGGCGCTGGGGTAAACTCAGCCTCTTATAGAAATGAGTACCAGAAATCTTCCTGGAGGTAAAGCAGCCGGTGCATATGACTGACAACCTCACAGTCAGCTGTGAGCCAATTGTCTAGAGAATGTGGGAGGCTCATCATCCCACAAACCTATGGTTCCTATTACAGGGATAGCTTTACTTCACTTCTCTCCAGAGTTAAAACCCCAGATGCTCCAGTGATGTTTAAGAGATCTGTAATTCTACCACTTTAGTATTCAGCATTCAATGAATAACTTTATTTTATTCTGTCTGAAATATTTCCTAACACAAATAATAAATATAGAAGAGAAAACTAAATGCATTGGAATTTATATTAATTATTTGAATATTGTTTCCATGAAATATCAGATTTTGCAAGGGAGTTCACATGTGTTCTGTGGATATATTTTCTAAAAACAAATGTTATTATGAGCATCAACCTGTAAGCTAATTTTCTATCAAAATTTCAAGTCTAAAACAAAAACATCATCCCATCCTGTAACAGTTTTTCAATTTAGAGCTTTTAATGTACCAAATATTACTGTATAGTGGTCACCATTCCCATCAGCACCTGTCCTGAGATTTTCATGTTCGCCCTCATTTTCTATAATCTACCATTTCTCAAACTGTGGTACTGGTGCAGCTTGCCAGAGAGATCATAAATATTCATTTGTACTTTTCAGTTCCCCATGGAAAATTGTTATCTTTGAGTTTAATATTTACATATTGTGAATGATATCAGAACAAAGTTCTACATACGGTAAAGGTAAAGGTAAAGGTCAAATTAGGCCGTGCCATAGCTCAAGCGGTTAGTCACTGGCTTCTCACCGCGGAGGCCCGGGTTCGATCCCAGGTCTGGTCAAGTGGGATTTGTGGTGGACAAAGTGGCGCTGGGGCTGGTTTTCTCCAAGTACTTCGATTTCCCCTGCCAATCTTCATTCCAACAAATTCTCCATCATCATAATCACCTGGGGCAGGCTACAATAGGCCAATCAGTGACCGAGTGGACCCAGTTGGACTCCACCCCCACTAAGCGAATTTAAAAAAAAAATTAAAAGGTCAAATTATCCCTGGACTTAGTTAATTAAGCACCATGCCATGAAGATGTATGGGGGACTGGAGGATAGTTCCACCATTCTCAACTTCAGCACTAGATGAAAGTGAGTTAACAGCGTCACACTCCTGCCAATGCACACTCACAGAAACAGCCCCTCCCCCCTGGTAACCATTGTATAGGTGGCTGAGTGAACCCTAGATGCAGACTGGATATTAAAATATTAAAAGAGAACAGAAGAAACCCCTGCCCATCCCAGGCATTTAACCCCAACTCCTTGATCATGCAACCCACAGCTTGCTTACTACACTGACTGAGCTGTCATAATATGTGACAAATATCAATGTGATCATTGCCCATTTATACATTATTATAAGATCATTATAAAAATTAAGTTCTGAAATTTTCATGTTTTTGTTGAAGTGGGAGTGCAGACATTTGATTGCTTCAGAAGGGTACAAAGTACGGAAAGTTTGAGATTTTTTTTCTAAGCAAATACAAGTAGCACATCTGAAGATAAACAATAACCAGTTCCACATCATTCGCAAATTGCTACTATTGACAAATTGTCATTAAGTAGCCGAATAAACCAATTCACTGAACCTCAGAGTGTGAAACATACTACTAATATGTTGCAGATATCGATGAGTGTCAGGAGGGCACTCACACATGTCACCCATCAGCTCGCTGCATTAACACTGAAGGAGGCTTCCAGTGTACCTGCCCTGCAGACAGGGGACCAGACTGCAAGCTCAGTAAGAAGCAGATATCTCCAAATGTGTGCATTCCTTGCATAAAATAAATGTGTGATAGGGATTTTCTGTCTGTGTATCCTCATACTCCATTTCTAATACTACTAGACAAATTTCTATGAACTTTGCAATTAAAAGTTTTAGGGCAACTTTAATTTTGATGTACATCTGCATGGGAAAAGAAAACCTTTTTTGCACACTGCTATGTTATCAAATGCATGAAAACCATGAAAGTTTTTTCAGGTGAACCCCATTTAGGGATTGTTCTGGATGAAGGAGTAGAGGCCATCAGAATAGTTCCCAGCTAAAGGATCCCTCATGCATAGAACTGGCTGGGCTGCTGAATGAATCACTGTGACATTGACATGCTTAACATGCACATAATTTTCACCTGAGCAGCACTCATACATACAGTTTGGATCTCTTTCCCCTTATAAAACAACAGTGTAACTCATTCTGTAAATCTGTATAATTAAAATTAATAAATCTGAAATAAAGGCATGAATGATGAAACCAGTGCAGACATGCTGCATATATAGTGAAAAGTCTACATTTACAAGCACAGCATTGTTGTTTACTCCATCGTCAACATAGTAAAAGGAAAGTTTGTGGTCTCAGTTAGTAAAATGATGAAAATTTCCATTGCAATAAACACTACTCACAGTCAACACAGTTGAGTGTTTTTTATATTCTTCTTTCCCAGACATATAATTCTTTTGTCTTTAACAGTTGTTGGTATAGACAAATGTTCTCATTTCTTATTTACAAGAATGAGGTCAAGTATGTGAACAATATGCTGTAACTTGGCTCCTTCTCAGCCATAAAAGGTTGGCAGAGAATATCTAATAATTTTGTGCATAAATTTAATTTCTCTCTTCAGAGTAATACTCTGCCCATCAAGGAGTAGATGCATGTTTCATGAAAGTGAAGACTTTTCAGAAGGGTAGAAGCAAATAGTAAAATGTGCCAACAAAATTTAAAAATAAATATGTATGAAAAGAGTATAAGCAGCTAACATATTATGCTTTCCATCTTTCTGTGGGCAAGATAATGAAAACTGACAAAGAAGCTCTTTTGTAGTCTCAAGCTACATGTACAAACAAGTGGAGTTCAGTAGATTTAAGTACTATCCCTGGAGGATGGATATGGTCAAAAGGAAGGTAGGAAGTCCAGGTTATCTCCACCTTGTGCATCAGGAACTCTTTATATGCACACAGTAGGACTGTCTATCACATATTGCTCTACAGTGTGCACTAAGTAAGTGGACACACAAAAAGTGGAGGACAAGAATTATATTTTAGGAGAAATACGAACTGGTCTCAAATATTTTATAGGTTGCATGTTTGAAGGCACAGAAGTGATCAATGGGCTAACAGTCAGTCCTGCAGGACAACCATGTCGGCGGTGTGAGTGCTCATCAGGTGTGATCTCATGCAGAGATCCCACATGTGACTGTTCAGTACGTGGAGGAAGTGCTTCTGACAAATGTTGCCCCCAGTGTGACCCGAGTGCAGCATGCACACACCAAGAATTAAAGCACGTGGTATTCCGCAGTGGTGATAGATGGATCTACCAGTGCCAGACTTGCGAATGTCTGGTAAGTTTCTTCCTCTTACCCCTCAAGTACCTCCCTTCACTTTCTCCCTTCTCCTCTTCCCATTTCAGAGTTCATGACTGTACTTCATGAAGCTTCAAAACAGTAGTAGTAGATCAGATGTCTACAGAATAATGCATGTTGTATGTGTGGATCTGTATAATGTAAAATGAAATTAATATCTATAAATTTAGCATAAACATCATGTGTTCCTTTCATGCCATGCAAGCATAATGAGGTTGTGCATTCTAAGCTTCAACACTATGTGGCAGTGAGTGTTCAATTCCATGCTCTGGATGCTTTACCTACAAGGAAATACCCATTAGTATGAGTGCAGTTGGAAGTCAGTCTGAATAGGTGGTGAAGGGAAAAAGCCCTTCCTGCACTACAAATTAAATCCAAATTTATAAAAATTCTTAAATTCATAAAATGTTTTTCATGTCCTACCCAACTCAGTTGTTTGGCATACTTTATAGGATTGTCACATGTCAGTGACTAGACACAGGGTTTTGGGTTGGTAATGGGACTCACTTAACTTTTATAACTCATAATTACAAATAATTATAACACCATCACTATTCTACACACTTTACAAATCACTACTGCACATGCTAAATCTCAGTATTTTATGTATTTTCTAGTTGATGCTCAGTTAAAATCTTCGCTAGGCATTGCTAGGCTACAGATGCTAACAGCAGAGGTTCTTCAGCTTCCATGCTCACATCCTTGCTGGATGGAAGTTGGATTACAACTCTGTAACTTCAGTTTGTCAGTTGGTAAAATTCCTGCTGATCCCTGACAGCAAAATAATTCTTGTTTTCAAGTCCTGTCAAGATCCATGAGCAAGGATTTCTCTTTCCTAGCCATGTAACTGTTCAAAAGTAGGACCTTCTCTTCAATGATAGGAGTGGACTGACCATTATTGGTCACTCCCCTTCTATTGATGGTTCTTGAACGGGGATTCATTCACTAACTGGCTCAGTGTTCATTGACACTCTCACTTAACTTATCCAGTCACTGGAACAGACTGAACAGAAAACATCGTTTCCAACAGCTCTTCTATTGTTGCGTGCATAAGCGTCATAAGTCTTTAGCATTATAAGTTATTATTTTAGTTTCATCAATTTAATCCAGAAACAGTTCACCCCATGCGAAGATTTTGAAATTGTCCTCAAACTCTGTAGAAGAATGCTTTATCTCCTTACATAATCCAGGATGCCTTCCTGTGCAGCCTCTCAAAATTTATAACGTGTCTAATCTACTTACTTGTATGTGTCTCTAGAACTAGTGCATCATAATTACTCAACTAATATACAGAAATGAGAGGTATAAATATGAAATATAATTAATCTTTTACATCTGAAGTGTGCGCATCGGTACACTGAAATGTGTATATTCTCCGTGGCCAAAGTATACATATTCCTGCATTTGGACATTTAAATATTATAGCCAAAATAGCTTGGGCTCTAATCATTACCAGGCACTAGCATAGAAATGTGAATCTGGTAATGGCACACATGCTGACAATAGTAGCACTGGTTCAATTTATAACCAGGTAGTGACACAGAAAAAGTAAATATTAGCCTGGGCTACTATTTGAACACTTATAGTACTCATACATTACCCAATGATATAATAATATTTCTGCTTGTAGTATGGTGAGATTGACTGCTGGGCAATGGAATGTCCACCACTGACGTGCAGCAGTCCAGTGCTGAATCCAGGAGACTGCTGTCCTCGATGTGAGGACGATCCATGTGGGCTTGACGGTACTAACACAAGCCTAAATTCTGCAGATGGTGGGAAGCCTTGTACATATCTGGGTCACCTGTATGAGTCGGGAAGCCAGTGGAAGGACCCATATGATAAGTGCACAGCCTGCAACTGCAAAGTAAGTTAATGGATTAACTTACAGGAGAGAGGCTGTAGGCTATGTGGATTTTGTACAGGTACACATACTTCATTTGAGACAGCAGTTGATGTTCAAACTCATAAAATGAGACACATTATTTAAAACTATTATTTTGGACTTTGTGCATCGTTCAAATTTACTAAAACCACTATTTTTCAGAAATAGATTGTATTTAAGTCTTCAAGGAAACAGTATATGAAAGAAATCCTACTCTGTTAGGGCTCTCAGTAAAGATACCCTCAGAGAATTGTTTGAGAAGTATATGAGGTCATGGTTTGAGACTACCTGTACAGAAAGGCTCAAGAGAATAGGTATAGTTTCAAATCCCATCCCTCTGAAGATGGGAATTGAACCAATTTCTGAAAACGGCGATTTTAATAAACTCAAACAACTGATAAATTTCCAAAATAATACTTCATAACCACTATGTTAGATCATTGTCAGCCAGCCTTAAACTTAGTTGAAATAACATATCTTAAATTGTTATCAGAGTAAGTGCAAGGAAGTATTGCATTATTGTTTGTATTTGACATTTAATCAAAAACAACAGTATATCAAGTTTTCCTCTTTTTGCTGTGTGAAAACTGGATGGTGGTGGGATTCTAGATCAACCAATATTCAAACAGTATGATTATCAGTATTACATACAAGGCTAACTACTGGGCTCATGAATTAACTAAAAAATCATCTCCATAATGTAAATTTGTCCTTGAAAAATTGAAAGTCCTCAGCTGGTCAAGAAATTTCCTGCTTTTAAGATACCCGAAATTTCATTATCATCTTCATATGAAACCAATGGACCTTCTCTATGCCTAATATTACATATAGTATAAAAAGTTAAGCAATAAATGAATATTTTTCTTAATATCCATTGTCAATTGGAAAGAATTAGGAATTATGTGAGGAAGAACATTGTCTTAACCCTTTGCCACACATTACACAGTGAAATATAGTAAAATTAAATATTCATTATTGAACTTAATTTATTAAAACCTTGTGCACAAAAATCATAATTATTATCCATTCTAAGTACACCATCATCAATTGAGTCATGTCTCACAACAGTAATGCAGAAGTAAATCTGTAAAAGTAAAAGTGAACTCATAAGTTTTTGGTGGTTTCAAAATACTCATATATCTCTGCCAATCTTGTTCCTGAAGTTCTGAGCAGCATTCATGACCTCTGAACCTCTACAGATATGTATACTGTTAAGTATTATAAATAAGTAAACCTTGTGATGGGATGATGATTCATAACTGTTAAATATCCACACTATCTCAAACTTTATTCTCCATTAAATTTGCATAGTTCAGTTAATTTTAAAATGTTTTATCTGTCCTTAATTAATTGTTTAATTCAGAATAATGGAATGCATGTAGTTAGATGTCAATATTAAAACTGTATAGATCTTTACTGAAGCCGGGCCATGTAATTTTGAAATGAATTTCTAGTAATCCCTACATACCTAATGCAAATTGTCCTCACATAACATTCTATCAGAAGGTGCATTATAGTTTGTCTTTCAGTGTGACATCTTCATAACAACAAATTTTAAAGTAAATGATAGATGAAGTGGGATGTCTTTCACGGTCAGATCATGACAATTTTTCGAACCTCAGAAGTTTTCGGAAATGATTACAAGGTTAAGAGTATGTCTTTGTGTTATTCAGAAACTCTGATGGTTGACTGATATGAACCATATTTTCTGTACGAAGATAATCCTTCGTTCCTTTCCTTGAGTATTGCACTGCATATACTTGTTAGTGTAATTAAATGACCAAAAGGATAAAGCTTCTTTGAAAAGGTCAACTATTAAACTTGTGTGATATTGCTTGGCCCCACCAAGTTCATGGTTTAGTTCATCTAGAGAACCAACTGTGAAACATATATTATTGCTAGTGGGGTTGGACTAATTCCCTTGTACTGCAGCCACTTCTGGCCTATTGTACCAGCCCCAGATGATAGGTGAGGGTGATTGTGGAGCAGTTGGTGGAATGAAGATTGGCAGGGGAAACCGAAGTACTTGGAGAAAAACTGCCCCAGCGCCACTTTGCCCACCACAAATCCCATTTGACCAGACCACTGCCATCGCAGTGGGAAGCCAGCGACTAACTGCTTGAGCTATGGTGCGGCCCAAAACATATATTAGTATAATGGTGCATGATTTCACCATTTTTATGTGAAGGAACAAGAGCCTTTATTGAAGATGTTAACACTGTATGCCTCATACAGTTCTACTACATATGTTTATCTTATAAAAGTGCTTCATTCCCAGGACATCAGTGATGTCTTGACTGGGTTTTCTGCAAAGTCTTAATAATATTTGGGTGAATAAAAGTGAAGGATATCACAGAAATAATATTATCATTTTGTCTGTTCTAGTGAGAATTTAAGAATTTAACAAAAATACAGCAGGACATCACTGGTCTGATAAATTCTTTTTTTTTATGAATAATCTCCACTCTGTTTTACAAGACAGCACACAACTATGCTACTGGTATCCTCCTTGTAGAAAGAGGTAGGCTGTATCCACAGCAGGAATCTGCAAGTACGGTAGTAGGTTGTGCAGTGTGTAGGAATTGGAGGTTCTTGGTGTAATTTAGAGAGATTTATTTTATGGCATGATTATGCATTTCTTATTTGATAGTGCTATGTCTTACAACATGAACTTTTATTATTATTATTCAATATTAATTAACTTACACATTAGTAATTCCAATAATGATAAGATATTGATCAAGTTAGCTCAAGCAGTAACAAGTCTGACTTGTATTCAAGAAGTACCTGATTTGAATTTAAATGGAATACCCTCTGCCATTCCCAGTAAGGCCTTGTTCTTTCCCAGTACACTTTGTCTAATCAAAGTGATTCTCTTCAGTGTGAATACTGATATTACATACGAGAAGGCCACAATTATCATATTTTGTTGCTGAGCACATTTGAAACTAACAGAAGGCACATACAGATAAAGTACACCCAGGTATATCTCATGATCTTCATGGAGATATAAATTCAAACAAATACTTATTGTCATTTTAATGTGTAGATATCAAGTGTCCTGTTGCATTATTCTGCTGCTTTAAAATTGTAGCTCCCAAGCACAATTTTACTAGCAGGTCTATATGGATATCTGTGTGACTCTTTTGACAGAAAAATCCTTGTAATCTAATTCGCACTCTATGATAGTTACTGATTACACTTCTCACACAAAAAAAATAAATATGTTATCAGCACTCACAAAATGAGAGCAGAAGACTGCTAGTCTGTGTGACCTGTCATATGCTTTTATGTAAATAGCAAAACAGAAGAATTTTCTTCTATGATATAATTCTATGTGGTCCAGTGAAAGTCAGCTAATATTTCAGAAGAATATATTGCCTAGGTCTTCAGGGTCAAAGAGCAGCAGAGCTCTGCTTGCTGCCTCAATACACTGATTTCTTTCTTGGCTTACTCTTCAATCTTGAATACATGTTGTTATATCCACGATAACAAAACTGCTACTACAACCTTGAATCCGATGCATTAAAACGGGCGCTTATGTGTAAGTGCTCAAGACTGGTAAACTTAATAACACCATTCCAAAGCTTTTGTATGTCTGATCACAAAACCTTTACTTTTTCTGGCAGTTTTACATTTTCTTTTGAATGTGTGGCCTTATGCCTCAACAGCTTCTTCTGTTCATATGCAATTTTAACTGGTGGATAACACTTATAAAATTTTATATATAGATGGTAGGCATGAACAGTGAGGAAAATATTGTAACTTTAAATAAATACTGTAGTGTTTCAAATGAAAGGTTTCAAAATATGATATAAAATTTAGGAGAAATATTTGTTTGTTGTGCCAGTATTTCAGAAGAAACAAATTAATTAACTTTATCGCCTTCATCTGACGTATCCAATTTGATGTGGGTCATCTAACAACCGAGCCGTTCCATTTATCTCGACCTTCCCCAAAATTGCTTCTTCTTAATTTCCTCTCTGTTGTTCCTCTTCAAGACTGAAAACAGCCAAGAAAATTCTTCTTTGAAATAGCTGGTACCCAGGCAAAATTCAAACTGGGTACTTCCAAAATACAAGTCTAAAAGTCTTAATAGTATTGCCAGTTATAACAACTTGTCTGGATATAAGCCACGCAGAGTGGCCTTCTATATCATCCACTAACCCACCCACCACCTCACGCATAATTCACGATCTTTAGCCACCAACAGCTTAAAAAGAACCAGAAATTACAAAACAATGTGTACAGAAAGAAGTAGAAGGAAATTTTGGATATATTGGTGATAAATAAATTGTCAAAAAAATCTTTGACAAAGAAAGCTACCAAGTAAATACAAACTGCAAGCAGAACTATTTTTTAAATAAAGGCTGAAAAGAAAGGGTAAAAGAATTAACATCACATTGAACTTCAACAGATTCTAACAGTAGACAAAACCACTGTTTTTCAGAGCTTGATTTATGCACAGTAATTTCTTAAAACTCTTAGTAGTGCATAAGTTCTGAAGAAGGTTTCCTGTCACTGCTGACCAAATAAAATAAGAACACAGAACTGCAAGTGATTTCTTTGTGTTATTTCTTTTCTTTCCCTTCTTTCTATCCACTTTCCTTCTCTCTTCCTCGCTTTTTTGCTTCTTTCTTGCTTCCTTTCATTACATAATGTTTTTCATTGTAAAAAAAGTATGTATGCATTTCAGGTGTTTATTAGAATATAATTTTATAAGTATAATAATTTATTTTAACAAATAATGTTACATTTACTATGAGTATGGAGGTAGATATGAAGATAGAGGATTGTTAAATTTATGCAGTATTGCATAATTTTGGTTATGTAATTCAGCTGTGATGTCACTTACTCTTGGTCTCTCAACATATGTTGTTCCAGTGTATAATTAACCAGTTTGTTAATTGCTATGCTAAAATTTGCTATTAGTGCCGCTAATTAATAAGTGTAATGAATTAATTCTTTACTTTCATGTGCATTTGTTTACTAATCAGTTAATTAACAATCATTGTGCTGTTGCTAGTTTGTAGCTGCTGAAGTAGATTTAATATTTAATTAATTGCTAGCATTGAGTCATAATAATTTTATTACTTGGTTGTGTTTGTTTTCAGTTTTGGTTTTCTTGCATTTTTGACTAACAGTATGGTAACATTGGGTTCCCTTTCAGGTGCCGTACTGCGCCCAATTGGTGAGCAATATCGCGTGTTGTGTGCAGCGGTAATTCACGTGAATCCTACACTTCCTTAACTAATTAATTTAGTTTCTTTCTTTCTTTTTTCTTTCTTATTAGTTCAGTACTTAAAACCTATACTGCAAATAGTGTCAAAATCCTGCAAATTATATACCAGTATTAGCCATGAGATTCATATGTACTTGTTACAGAATTCCATCATTTCAATGTGTACCATCACAGCCTTACAATTATTAGACTCTACTGTATCTTAATACAGGCTTAAGCGGCCTCCGTAATCTAGGGGTAAAGTTCCCACCTCATGACTCGTAGTACGTGGGTCGTCGAATTTTTAAGGGCGGAAAAATTCAGGGAACAAGTCTTCCGAGAGGGACTTTAAGCCGTGGGTCCCGTGTCGTAGCTTTACAGCACGTAAAAGACCCTCATACCTCCAAAGGAGGTCACTGAGCCAAAATTGCGGACATTTCCCGCCCAACAGCAGTCACTAATACCTCTGGTAGATGGGGGAAGCATTATAAATACCTCTCAGCTAGTAGAGCCGCTCTCGCTGGCTGGGCGGGACTGATGGTAAGCACCAATACCGGTAGGATATAGAGACTGGTAGAAATCATAGAGGGAAGCACAATGGACCACTACAGGTCTAAGTGCATGGGGAAAGCCACCCTGTCCAATAACTAACTAACTAACTAATACAGGCTTAATGATAACATTTTCATTGCATTTAGGATATCATATGTTATTATTTAAAAAAATATTAAAAATCGCCAATTAATGCAATGTATTTACTATGCTCATGCTACTATCAGCAACCTTAGTTTCATTAAAAAATGGAAAATATTTTATATAAATTAGAAGTATGGTGTTTATAAATCTGGGGAAGATGACTAAAAGACAGTACTGTTACACTGCATGCTGTGTTTACTTTCTACATTCACTTGGCTGAATAATATGCATATACAAATTATCCTCTCCAGAAAAAGGTATACACAGTTTAATATGTAGTTACTACAGGATTGTAACGATGGTGTATAACACATAGAGATATTGGGTTTTTTTACTTTATCCATTGTCCTGGTTTTAAGATAACAAAGAAAAACATGACGTTTCGGAAACTGGATCTGTTTCCATCCTCAGGTGAGGTAAAACACCTATTCTGTTGGGTCCCTTAGAAAGAGCTAGCCTCAATCACTGGACAAGTGATTGTCACTTGTGATTGTGTCACGTTTGCTCAGGTGATTCCCTCACCTGAGGACGGAAACAGATCCAGTTTCCTAAACATTGTGTTTTTCTTAGTTATCTTAAAACCAAGACGATGGATAAAGTCCAAAAACCCAATATCTCTATAGCTTATTAACTTTTATTTTAACAACCAAAGTGGACAGATGTTAACCCATTGTTGTGCTGGTTTCCTTAATTAAAGTCACAACTGTTCAAAATATCCGCCACCAACATCAGTGTACTTCTAATGGTATTAAAGAAAGGGCTATACTTCTTGTGTTGCTACTGGTAAAATAGCAGCAGAGGCAATTTCAGTTTTGTCCTTAAATTCCTAAAGTGTTCTTGGTTTAGTGTCATGCATAGTGTTATTTAGAGTAACACAGGTAAAGGTTAAAATCTGTTAAGTCAGGATCACACTTCCTCTTTGTCCATACATTTTCTGGCGGAACAAACACATTATCATATTGTAATAAAAGTCTTCATCAAAAACGAAACTGTTGATGCCAGGCACTGTTAAATAAGCACTACCGGTGAAAGTCACTTCAGAGCAAAATGGTCCTAACATCTCTTAGGAAGACACAACTGGACCACCCTGCTGTCCGTGGTAGATTAACTGGTCATTCTCCTATTATGTCCGAATCCTCTATAGCCCAGTATGCACAGTTGTGTTGAAGGACAGTAAGAGATAAAGACTACTTGGGTATGTCACAAAACCAAAAACACTGCAGGACCTGAAGCATGAAATTTCAATTTCCTGTCTTGCTATTCCACCAGAAACAATACAACAGCATGCCACTCTTTTCAACAACAATGTCAGTGCACTGGTGCTGGTGAGTTCATATGGAACATTTGTGACTTTGTGGAAACTAACACAACAATGGGTCCACATCTGCCCACTTCACTTCTTAAAATGTAGGTTAATAAAAGGTGCATATATATATTTAGGATATTCCATATGTATATATTTATTTATTTATTTAATGATTACCCAGGGTAACTGTAAATGCTTCTCAACCATGAAGGTAGTTTCTAATTTAAATAATTTTCGTAGTATTCTCCAGTATTTAATGGCTGAATATAATGTGGACCCCAAGTTTGTAAGGCTAAGTTGAAGGAAATATCTTGCACACTTGCGTATGATGTTTTCATGTTTTATCACCAGAATCCAGGTCAGAATTTTAATAGAAATGTTACTGAAAAACCTATTGAAAATGTGATAATTTCAGATTCAATGATTATTAGAAAGCTGAAGCCATAGCTTCATGATATCTATTTACACAGCTAAGTAGAAGAGATTACTTCCTTCTTCCTGCACCATCTCTGCAACATTTTTATATTTTTGCAAGTAAATTAATCACACAAGATTTCTGCAATAACTAACACCACTGAAAAAGACTGATTGAAAACACAATTTACCAGTAATAATACAATTTCCTATTTTCACAATATATTGTTGCTCTTGATGAATATATAAAATATCATAATTTTCGATATATGTTGTTTAGTTAAAGGATAAATTTAATTCAACGTTTTGAATTGAAATTAAATTTGTCATTGTGCTATACTGGTACTTTAACAGAGACCTAACAGTTGCCCTTGAGGGGGCAAAAAGTGGGTATTGTATTCAGTGAAACACGGTATTTAGTAAGACATGAAGAAAGCAGTCTTCTGGGATTTGGCACCGTGTATATGTGGTGTTAACCGACGTTTCGGAGGAACGTATCGCCCCCATCTTCAGGGTAGAAGAAAAAGTATAAGAAATCTGCAAGCGACAACACCGTGAGAAACGGTAATTTACAGTTTCTCACGGTGTTGTCGCTTGCAGATTTCTTATACTTTTTCTTCTACCCTGAAGATGGGGGCGATACGTTCCTCCGAAACGTCGGTTAACACCACATATACACGGTGCCAAATCCCAGAAGACTGCTTTCTTCATAGTCACCGCCGTGAAAGCCTCAAATCTTACTTAGTAAGACATATTTACTGCTGTTCCTGATGCCCCACCCATATTTAAATATATTTGGTTAGAGGCCCAAATGTTGAATATTTATGGATGTAATATGAGATGCACACATATCACAGATACATTTTATTATTCAGATATTCTTTGATTTATTTGCACATATAGATTAGCGGAGAAGTGCAATATTTTGTCCAAGCACGAATCAAAAGAAGTGCAGTGTGAAGTCAGATTTGTTAAAAAAAAATTATTATACCCATTTATACATGTTTTATTCATTTTAGACTTATCGTTTTGTAATGTTTATTTGGATATTTCACATGAAACTTACTCTCTGCTTGAATGGAAGCTGCTAATCTGGTGTCACTGCATGTTAGGTAGTCTAATTTATAGAATTGCAGATGTTCTGCACTATAAGAGGTGTAACAGGAAGTCCATACCGAATTATAAATTAACCAGTTTCTGTTTTAAAAAACAATGCTGATACAATCATCTCAAATTTTAAGTTTTATTCTTAGCTGGGACTAGTGAACTTTCTTTAAATTTTGTTGCTATTTGCTTCTTTCCTGTCCATTGTGTTGCACAAAACCTACAGTTATCATTTCATGAATTAAAGTTATTATCAGTCTAACCATCTGGAATTTCTTTCTCAAGTAAAATTGGCCAGTGCTCCCCATCTGCATGGTAGACATACTGATATTACATAAAAAATGCAGAAATGCTCTAGAAGTATTCTGTATTCAGACATGTCAAAATGAATTCTTGATCATGTCCACTCTAGTTGTCTTCAAGCACATAAAATAACATCTGTGGAGACAGCACTGAAAAGGTTTTCTTAATGGAACAGCTCTGTAGTTGTGACTGCCAAAATTCCAGGTATTATGCGTCTTCCACAGCATATATCAGAATATATAATAAGGGCCTTCTGTGCAGAGAAAGAAAATTAAATTTAAGATACTGAAAGTAATTTTATTTTTCAAATTTAAAATCATAGCCTGACCTATACAGAAAAAAACATCTCTGACATAGCACCATGCCATTAAGTTACTTCAAGTTAGTTACTGGTTATCCATTTTTTGTGGTACCATAAAAGTAAAGCTGTTCCTGTGAAGAAGCATGGGGATGTGCATATACCGCTCAATGCATCTTAGCACTAGGTGGAGGTGAATAGTCATTTTCATACATTGGATGCTTTACCCCAGGAGAAAGAGCCCTGGGTACCCACTGGATAGGAGGCCAAGTGAACACCAGAGCTCATCTGGGCATAATTGTAAAGAGGAAAATCCCTGTCCCTGCTGGAGATTAAACACGGATTATCCAGTCATCCAGGCCATATCCTAGCCAATATATTGACTAAACCACACCAGTTTTCTTTATATCTTATCAGCTGCTAAAGTACAGAAAGATTATGGAATGCTATGGACATCAGATATCACAGATAACTATGAAAATGAAGAAAGCAGTCTTCTGGGATGTGGCTCCATGTAGATATTGTGTTAACCGACGTTTCGGAGGAACATATTGCCTCCATCTTCAGGGTAGAAGACAAGAAGAAATCCACGAGTGAACCAGCGTGAGCAGGTTAGTGCCCTCCATTTAACCTTCCCTTCTCTCCCCCCAACACATACCATATACCTGCTCTGACCAGCTACCTGCTGGCCCACCTCCCCAGACCCTTCCCCTCCCCCCTTCTCTGCCGATTCCCCATGTAGCCCCTCACCCTTCTCTTCCTGCTCTTATACAGCTGGGTTTACTTGACTGGACTCAGTCTGTTGCACCTGCTCACACTGGTTCTCTCGCAGATTTCTTCTTGTCTTCT